GCGGGGCCAGGCTGTGTTGGGGCCAGGCAGGGCCTGACCCTGTGGCCTTCACCCTCCCTGCAGGACAGGGATGCTCTCAGGGCTGGCGGCCATGGAGCTGAAGGTGTGGGTGGATGGCATCCAGCGTGTGGTCTGTGGGGTTTCAGAGCAGACCACCTGTCAGGAAGTGGTCATCGCACTGGCCCAAGCGATAGGTGAGTCCCCTGAAGCACGGATGGGCCCAGCAGGTGCACCTGGGGTGCCCCGAGGAGGGTGGGGCTGCTGCTGATCCCTCTTGCCTGCCCCCAACTGTGCAAGCCAGGTGGACAGACGGTAAGGGATGTGGGCTGACTGACCCCTCTCCCCTGCTCCAGGCCAGACAGGCCGCTTTGTGCTTGTGCAGCGTCTCAGAGAGAAGGAACGGCAGCTGCTACCCCAGGAGTGTCCCGTGGGTGCCCAGGCGACCTGTGGACAGTTTGCCAGCGATGTCCAGTTTGTCCTGAGGCGGACAGGACCCAGCCTCGCTGGGAGGCCCTCCTCGGACAGCTGCCCTCCCCCTGAGCGCTGCCCAATCCGAGCTAGCCTTCCCCCAAAGCCTCGACCAGCACTGGACCGTGAGCCCTGCAAAGCACCGACCTTCAGCCTGGGGTTCCCTGGGCTGGCCCCCGGCCCTGTGCCACCCGAGCCTGTGGGTCCCACAGCACCAATGCCGGGCTGCTGCGCAGACCTGCAGGGCTTGGAGCGAAGGGTGCGCAGGAACGCAGCGGAGCTGGGCCAGGAGGCCTTCTGGGAGCAGGAGCTGCGGCGGGAGCAGGCCCGGGAGCACGAGGGGCAGGCCCGCCTGCAGGCGCTGAGCGCGGCCACGGCTGAGCATGCCGCTCGGCTGCAGGCCCTGGACGCCCAGACCCGCGCCCTGGAGGCCGAGTTACTTCTGGCCGCAGAGGCCCCTGGGCCCCCCTCACCCACAGCGTCTGTCGCAGAACGCCTGCGCCAGGACCTGGCCGCCCAGGAGCGGCAGAGTGTGGAGGTGCAGGGCAGCCTTGCCCTGGTGGGCAGGGCTCTGGAGGCTGCTGAGCACGCCCTGCAGGTGAGCCCGCTGGACCCCGCACCCCTGCCAGTTCCTTCATCGCAGGGTGGATTTGGGTGTCGGTCTCAGGATCAGATGAGGGAGAGCATGAGGCTGTGCGGCTCCACGGCCGTGCGCCTCTGAGGGTCCCGTGTGTCCTAGGCCCAGGCCCAGGAGCTGGAGGAGCTGAACCGGGAGCTCCGTCAGTGTAACCTGCAGCAGTTCATCCGGCAGACGGGGGCTGCACTGTCCCCGCCCCCACGGCCGGACGGGGCCCCCCCTGGCACACAGGTCAGAGAGGTTCTGGAGGGTGGCCAGGTCGGGGGGGGGCCAGCCCA